GGGTAGGGAGGGAGAGAGAGAAACAGAGTTGTTTAAGTATGAATGAGTGTGGGTGTGAGTGTGAAGGGGGAGTAGGGGTAGGGAGAGAAACAGACAGACAGAAACAGAGAGAGAGAGAGAAAAGCGAGAGAGAGAGAGAGAGAAAGAGAGAGAGAGAAAGGAGGTGGTGGTGGAGGAGGAAGAGACAAACAGTTAGCTAAAAAACAGAAAAAGAGAGAGAGGGTTTAGGAAAAAAACCAGACAAACAGACTGACAGACACACAAAGAGTGAGAACAAGGGAACATGAGAGTGAAGGAGGAAGAGAGAGCCGAACAAGGATGATATTCCCATAACAGTTTGAATTGTTTCATGCTATGTTGCCCACTTGAATGAAGTGGGAATCTGCTTGTGCTGAAAGGAAATGGAAAGCCAGAGATAGGGCTAAGTGGTGCATCTATTTTTGTAGATAAAATGTACTTGGGATTTTCGGTGAACATTCGGATTAGGGGAAGAAACAAAGCAGCGAAAGAGAGTGACAGAGTGACAGCCAGTCATTATCCTAATCAGTCATTGTCATTGTCAGCTTCGTCCGTCATTTCCCTTCGTTATCCTTGTCAGGACCTTGAAAGAGGGGAAGACCCAAAGTGACCTGGAGACGCACAGTAGAGTCTGAAATGAAGTCCTAGAACCATTCGTGGGGGACGTTAACCAAGATGGCCCAAAACAGACAGAGCTGGAGATTCTTTGTTGCTGCCTTAAAGGCCAGATGGTGTAACGGGTAAAGGAAGAAGGACATTTTTTTTTTTTGTAAACTGTTTTACGGCGCTCGCAACTGCATAGGTCATATTATGAGCGCGCGGGACACACCTAATATTTTCAGTTGGTAGGAAATTTTGAATTTTGCCCGGGTGGCGGCCAAAGCCTACTCTTATCGATTTTAGACCACCAAGGGATCTTCAACGTGCGCAACTTGCATACGGGCCCTCCGAGATTTTTTGCCCTTGATCGAGAAGGCTAGGTGTAGATCTTTCCTACCACAAGATCAGGGGTGTGGCAGAAAGACAGCAGTAAGGAGGAGCCAAGGAGTAGCAGTAGAAAGGCTGCAGAAAGAGTCAGGAGCCCAGAGGAGGGGGGCAAAGGAGGTGAGGGGGTGGGGTGGGGGCAGAAAGTGGAAGTGAAAGCAGACAACAGAACATTGCTAGAGAGCAGGAAAGGAGGTGAAAGGAGACAATTTTATAGAAGAAAATTTTTCGGTCGCTACCCGGATTCGAACCCGGGACCTTTGAATGAGAGGCCAACACCTTAACCTCTAGGCCACGAGAACCCCAGGAAATCTTTGTCAACCACTAATATTATAGTTTCAGTCATTTCATTTATTGTTAGTCATTACCACTATCAGCAGCCATGACTCATATCAACCATTACTAGCTGCTACCTCAGAATCACAAATCAATCTGACAATTTTCGCCGTTTTGAATTACTAAGACCGTGAGGTCTGAACCAAATTATATTCTGCTTCCTCTATCGTAAGATTATTCAATTGGAGTCGTTATCAAGATATCTATTTAAAGAATTGCATTCGAAAAAGCTTGACATGTTGTGAAGCTCAAACTTTTGGGCATCCAATTTCTCCAAGCTAGGCACTGAATAGATAGTATGTTTGTAATTCAAGGGTAGCGAAGTGTCAGAGTTTTTCGTTAAGGAGCCCCACACACGTTCAAAAAAAGCGTCAAAATGTTACTTCAAAACTTTGATATCACAATTTTTATGCAAAATTTGACTGCGTGTAGGGCGTTTTCTCGTCAATCAAAATTTGGACGGATCAAACCCGTTTGAAAATTTTTTAAATATATATTTGTGGGCTCCTGTAAAAATTTGGATCAAGCTTTTATATTTCGCAGGTGACCGCTGAGGAGACAGGATCGTTTCTGCTTCTCTCTGACTCCATCTCTCTCTCTCTCTCTCTCTCTCTCTCTCTCTCTCTCTCTCTCTCTCTCTCTCTCTCTCTCTCTCTCTCTCTTCCTCACCCTTTCCTCATTCTTTCCTAAATCTCTTTCGTTCTCTTTTCCCGCCCCCCCCTCTCCCCCCCTCTCTCTCCCTCTCTCTCTCTCTCTCTCTCTCTCTCTCTCTCTCAGTCTCTCTGACTCTCTGGGTATCTCTCTCGATCTGTCTCTCTCATTGAAAGGGGATATGTCTCTCTGGTGTGAATTCGATCTCATAGCGGGAATCAAATAGTTTTCGGCTTTTCCTGCTTCTTTCTGTTAATCAGAATGCTATTGGTGCTCATATATCGGAATGCAGGTGCGAGCGCCCGAAAAGCCTCTACTATCATTTTA